ATGTACAACAGCCCAGTTTTACATGGAGAGATGATCATACTCTCCAACACACATCCAACTCTTCGATGTAATCTCAACCCAGCTTCGGGGGAGCGTTTTAAATATGATATTCACCATCTTTGCATTCCACCAGCAATGATTATGCCCACCAAAACCGTAAGACTGATCTGGCTGCATCTAAGGAGAACTTAATGAAACCCGTCCTTTGAAGTTCAGTGGGAAAATCCAAAAAAAAAATCAGAAAACCAAATTTGAAAAGCATGGACAACAGCATTTCTTCAGTCCTAACTAGGAAGGCATCACTGAAGCAGTTATTCACAACAATCCTCATTATTTTACTTGCCTAGACTCAGTTAACATATCTTAGAACACAGGCATAAATAAACCTAAAATCAAAGCATCTAAATAATGAGTAATTTAGTACTAGTACTAAATGCCTAAGTAATGGGTAAATAAGGATACAAAGTAAATACTGGGACAAAAAAAGGCCACATTACATAATATGTTCATTTTGAAGTAGAAGAGTTTATTTGAATAATCCTATGAAAAACACTTTGTCGGTAAAAACCATCTATAATTTTAAACAACTATGAAACTTCACAGGGCATCTCCATGAATTTAAGAGTTATGTAGAGAATGAGACTCATCAAAAGACTTCTTAAAAGTGTCTTTTTGGGGGCTTCCCTGGTGGCGCAGTGGTTGAGAGTCCGCCTGCCGATGCAGGGGACGCGGGTTCGTGCCCCGGTCCACATGCCGCGGAGCGGCTGGGACCGTGAGCCATGGCCGCTGAGCCTGTGCGTCCGGAGCCTGTGCTCTGCAACGGGAGAGGCCACAACAGTGAGGGGAGAGGCCACAACAGTGAGAGGCCCGCGTACCACAAAAAAAAAAAAAAAAAAAAAGTATCTTTTTGGACCAAGTAATTCATTCCTTTTTATCCTAAGGAGATAATTATGAAGATGCGCTAAACTCTGAGGATGTTCATTACTTTATCCCAAAGCCAGGTATTAATAAATTCTAACTGGCAACACAGAAAAGTGGCTGAGCTGGGCTGGCTGAAGATCTGGCTGTCAGACCACCCGGAGCTTGTGTGCACTCTGCCCCAGGTTCCCACATCCACACCCACCCTCTGGGTCAAGGAGGCACAGTTAAGGAAAGGGGAGGTAGGGGAGAGCCCAGCGCACAAAGCCTGGGAGAGGGGTGATTCCACTCCCCTGCACTGTAGAACACTATATAGCCGGTTACAAAGAAATATGCAGAAAATTATTTCCAATAGAAGACTTGTAAGTCTTCCGTGCAATATGCTTTGGGGACTGTTTCTGTTTTGTTTCTTTGTGTTTCAGCATACTAAATGAAAAAGAAAGAAAAACTGATAAACACAAAATGTTAATAATTATCAGAGCGGTACAAATGTTGCTACTTTTTTTTTTTAGCATCCAGAGTTTCTAAATGTTCTAAAATGAAAATAAAATACTGTGTGATATAAAAAGCTAATTTAAATAAATCTCACACAAAATAGGGTATCCAACTGTTAGCAAATCACACTCTTTCTTTTTCTGGAATTCCTAACTTCAGACATTCTCAGTACTGCACACCCTCCTGATAATATTTAATTACATAATTGCATTTGTTGAAAACATTTATTGACTATCTATCAGCAAAGGTACAATGAGGAGACTGTGATTCTGCCCATGCCTGGGCGCTGTTCCAAACCCAGCCTTTCATCAATGTGATTTCTCATCTCCATTTACTAAAGAATAATGACTAATCCAGCAAGCTAGTGGTAAAATTAACTGGCACCCCTTCAATAATTCCTAGAATACAGTATTACCCGAAGAAGATACTTTATATATAAACATAAACTCTTCTAAACACAAAAATAGAAAGTCCAGTCAATGAGGTGTGGTAAGTCTTATGAGCACTGTTTATATAATAAATGTGATGGGCCCAGGAAGAATAGGCGTTTCTGGCAAATGTCTATGTGAGGTTTGAGGCTGGGGCCTGCCCCAGACTGTGACCACTTCCCTATGTGTTGTAGAGAAACTAAAAGCCCATCTGCTTAAGGAAGACTTTGTAAATTTTATATCCACTGTTTCAAAGAAAAACCTTAACTATATTTTTTAAAGAGTTTTTTAATTTTCCCCACTCAAAATGTGGATGAGTTGGAAAGAACATATGGAAGGAAGAATTCTTCATGTAAATAATAGGTACATAGAGCAAGAGAAAAGAAATGGGCTAGGGAGAGGGTACTAATCCTGCTGGAATATTTCACACTTTTCCATTGAATAGGAAACATCTCAAAATTACACAGAAGAGACCATCAAGAACTTTTACAGAACAATGAAAATAACACTTCTAACATCACACAGGCAGGAAGAATAGCGGGGTATAGAAGACTTCCTTTTGCAAACAGTCTCCTCTGTTTCACTTTTTTTTTCTTTTAAAGAGATAGAGGTCATCGGGTGTATGTGAAGCAAACACTTGCACTGCAAGCCTGCTCAAGGTGACCAGGACTTTGACAGTTTAAATTATCACAGAGAGACAGACACGTCCCAACAACGGCACGGAAGCAGACTTCAGTTAACATCCCACAGGTGACTTCAGGATTACACAGTCACAAGATCACCTGAGATCTGGGAGTGTTACCTAAAACTATCTGACACTGACACTCACAGGAAACATATTTCTGACTTGGAAGGAACTAAGAAGGACTGGAATAAAGATCATGGCATCAACACCATAAATCTACCTTCCCCATCACGGCTGGAATTGTAATAGACGTACAGGACACCACCAAGCCTTATGAATGGAAGTCTAGATAAATCAGACGTTTCCTACATACACATGAATTCAACAGCTCTCCAATACTCATCCACTAAAATGACCATTCAAAGCATGCTGGGGGGAGGAGACCTTACAGCCTAGGGGTTAGCACACCCTACACAAGGAAATAAAACTCTAGCACCAGACTGAGTGGTCCTAACTACTCCCATTTAGTAGGTAAATTACACGCCCAACTAGTGAAAAGCAAAGTATCAAAAGTTCCATTCATGTCACACAAGTCACATAGTCAGAATCAGGCTCAGGAACCGGCCCATGATTTTATCTGCTGTGACCTCACTGGTCATCAGCTTCCTTCCTCTGTAAAGTAAGAACTACAGGAGAAGGCACAGGCAAAGAGGAAAGGACATGCCGGGCACTTTACAGGCGTGCAAAATTTGTTAGTTAGATTGTTAGACTGTTAACAACTTCATAGCCATGGCTTCAGAACACAGCATCTGCATTAAGAGAGAAAACCCTGTAATCTGGAATGCATATAAGAGGGGTGATTAGAAGTAACAAATTGATTTTTACACGTGGCCAACTGAACCACACTCAATAAAAATCAGTTAACCCTTGCCTGGCAAAAGAAATTTGGTTAAGTCCACTGCTGGTTCCCAATCCTGACTGCATGTCACAACCTAGAGAGCATGATAGGATACAGGATCCTAGTTATGTGTTAAAAATGCATAAACCATGCACCTAAAATTTTAACTTCACTTTTTTTAAACCGTAACCCTGTATTTTACTAGTGAACCAATGCTGAAACTAAACACAGAAGAGGGTGTGTTTTTAATAAGCTCCAGAGAGCAGTTTTCAACATTTGGGAAATAGTACAACATTCTTTCCCCAGGCAAAAACGGTTCCCTTACAAAAGCCTTAGTATCTATCATTGTCTACAGGAATTTACAAATGTTGCTTTAAATGTATGCGTAAAAGGTATACACTACAGCTCTAACTAAATGTTGGCAATTATTAAATTCTGAGGCTTACAGAAATAGTTCATTCCAAAACAGGAAAAAGCCAAAATGTTTCAGATTCCTATTTTTTTTAGCAAGATACTGAAATTTTAGAAATAGCATCATAAAACACACAAGTAGAGAAGTTAGACTTGACATACTCTCCCCTCCCCACCCCCCACCCAGAGGTAGTCTACTCCCTTTTTTAGAGTTTCAGGGATAGAAGCCCAGCCACGTTGATGGTGTCCTCCAGGACAATGAAGGGGCCATGCTTGGGACAAGCGCATCCACGGACAGGAGGAGCCCGTTTCTCACTGCTGCTCACCAGGAAACAGAGGGCAGTCAAAGAGGAACGACTGCGGCATGGAGAAGAGACTGCGGATAGAGAACTGGGGGCCCTCCAAGGACAGGGGACACCATGAGACAAGAGATGCTCAGGGACACCTCAACATCAAGGGGTGAGTAGAGAAAGAGGAACTGCAGCTAGAGATGGTCAGAGACAGGAAGAGAACAAAGGAAGAAGAAAATGGTGTCCCAGATGCAAAGACAGGGGAGAGAACTTGCAGGAAGAACAAACATGTCCAGTGCTGTAATAGGTGACACTATAGATCAGAGAGAGGCCTGTCCTAAGACATCTGGATTCAAAGCAGACCTCTGCCTTGTAAAGCAAGGTGACCCTGACGTCTCTGACGCTGCCGCGTAGAAAACGAGGGATGCAGACAGAGTACTCCCTGGGGCCCCCTCTGGTTGTCCAGAGCTAAGATGTACTGACTTTCAATTACCATTTACAAACTCAAGAGAGAATGAAAGGTTGGTGACTGGTTACTAGTCTGCATCAGGGAGAAATTAAATATACTACACTGGTTTAATACCATTAACTTTTGAAAACTAAACCAATGAAAATAAATTAATAGCAGCCCTTGTGAGCCTAGGTGGTGTGTATGCTATTATTCAGCCCTTGTGAGCCTGCTCCAAGGTGTCGTATGCTATTATGTGCCAGTTCTTGAACTGGCAGTAGGAGTCCATTTTTCACAGGAACTAGAATTTTCCCAGTCCCACATTAGCCCTTATTTCACTGTTACTTCATGCAGAGTTTCAAAAAGGTCTTCTACTTCTACAGTTCTACACTATCCCAAGTATTTCAGAATTAAGAATCTAAGAAAGAGACATACAGAACACGATATAATGTCTACCTGATGCTCAACTGGTAAAAATAGCCAATACCTGCTTGATCCATCTGGTAGTCAATGGGCTCCAAATGCTGGTTGAAGGAGGGACAAAGAAACAAGCACTCTGTCGCATGAGCCTGCAGAAACTGCTGTGGACTTAAGTCAAGCCAAGCCCAGACCACACCGGCCAAATTAAGAGGGGGTCAGAAAATCAGTGGCTGTGAAAATAGAACAGGAAAACTCTATTCCCTTCAATGTATATAAAACGGTCCCTACATTTCAAGTATGTATCCATATAAAAAGCATCTTCATATAAACAGAATTATCAGGACGCACTCTCTTTAGATCTGAGTTACTCCAAGGTAACTCAAGTGTGGCTCACATTCCCCTGGGTAACAAGAGCCATCACCTCCGAGGAACCCCTGCGACTTACAAGGTCAAATTTTCTTCCATTATGCAGCACACTGACAATGCCTCTTAAGAGACGTGATCTGTTAATATATGATTTGTTGTAATTAAGCAACACAGTTTAATGTCATCAAGAGGCTTTAATTAGAGGAGGCTGCCATGTCTTCACACTGTCAGATCAATTCCTGTTTGCACATCCGTACAGACTTACACACATTCCGAGAAACACCTCTGCTTGCACCAAGCAAGGCTTCCTTTGGGGCTATGGACTTCCCACTGTAAAACGTTGTAGTACTTTAAAGGTCTGCCCATTTAATGGGTTTTGTGTGTTCCTCCATACCGAAAACCATACTTTCAAAAACCAAAAACAAACAAAAAAGTTCCTCTCTTCTCCAGAATGTCCTGCATGATAACAGATTCCTCTGGTACTTGATCAAACTCTGTGTTACCACCTCAGTGGTATATGCTTCCCTTGACCCAAGATTCCCCAGTCATTTGTACACTATGGCACCAACTCTGAATCTCATTTCTGTTGACATGTAACTCAACTTCGTTTCCTTTCTTTTTCACCTGCACATTCCTGAACAAATCTGGATGCTAAGCTAGCTATAACACTTTCTCTTAATACCAAAACACATTCAGAGGGATGTGAGAAAAAAGGGGCATCCAATATATCCCTATTTTCATGACAGTAGGGGATGGAATTATTGGTAAATCATCTACCATATAAGGGACCTGTATCCAGAATATATAAAGAATTCTTACAACTCAACAACAAAAATACAAAACAACCCAATCCAAAAATGGGCACAGGAATACACATTTCTCCAATAAAGGTGTAAAAAAGGGGCTTCCCTGGTGGCGCAGTGGTTGAGAGTCCGCCTGCCGATGCAGGGGACACGGGTTCGTGCCCTGGTCCGGGAGGATCCCACATGCCGCGGAGCGGCTGGGCCCGTGAGCCATGGCCGCTGAGCCTGCGCGTCTGGAGCCTGTGCTCCGCAACAAGAGAGGCCGCAACAGTGAGAGGCCCGCGTACCGCAAAAACAAAAAAAAAAGATGTACAAAAGACATAAGTAGTTACCATGACCAATCAATTCCACTGCCAACTAAAAAAACTGAAAACCTCTGTCCAGACAAAATCCTGTATACAAAAGTTCATAGCAGCACTATTTATAATGGCCAATAAATGAAAACAACCAAATGTCATTTATGGATAAATAAAATATGGTTTATTCATACAATGAAATATTATTTGCAATAAGAACGAATTCTGGAAAATCAATAGTGGTGATGGCTGCCCAGCAAGGTGAATATTGTCAATGCCACTGAATTATATTCCTAAAAATGGCTAAAATGGGAAATTCTGTTATGTATATTTTATCACAATTTTTAAAAATTAAAAGGGGGGAGGCATAGGGAATATAGCCAATATTTATAATAACTGTAAATGGGGTATAACTTTTTAAAAATTATGAATTGTACACTTGTACAGGTGTACAACTTGTACACCTGTAATACTGTACACCTATAACTTGCAGGTTTCAACAACTACATTTCAATAAAAATAATAATAATAAAGGGGGGGGTGAAGTACTGATTCGTGGTACAGCATGGATGAACCTCAAAAACATGATGATGGGTGAATAAAAGGCCAGGCACGAAAGGCCACATAGTGTACAATTCCATTTTTATGAAATGTCCAGAACAGTCATATCCATCGCACCAGAGAGGACATGAATGACTGGTGGGGCCTGGGGGAGAGAGGGAATGGGCAGTGACTGCTAGTGGGTGTGAGGTCTACCTTTCAGGGGTGACAAAAATGTTCTGAAATTAGATAGTGTTGATAGTTGCATAACTCTGTGAATATACTAAAATCCACAGAATTTTATGCTTTAAAAGGGTACATTTTATGGTACATGGATTATATCTCAATAAAGCTGTTACTTAAAAAAAATGAAGGGCTTCCCTGGTGGCGCAGTGGTTGAGACTCCGCCTGCCGATGCAGGGGACACGGGTTCGTGCCCCGGTCCGGGAAGATCCCACATGCCGCGGAGCGGCTGGGCCCGTGAGCCATGGCCGCTGAGCCTGCGCATCCGGGGGAGAGGCCACAGCAGTGAGAGGCCCGCATACCGCAAAAAAAAAAAAAAAGGATAGTGGGAAGAAGCTTAGGAAACATGTGCATGTGTGTACGTGTGTATGTGTGTTAAAATACAAGAACATATGTCTATTTCCCCAGTTTGGATTTGTTTGTCTTTCAGGGCAAATCCACACGAAGAATTGTTCTGTTTCCCAACTCTGCAGGGGCTAAAGAGTGAAAATCTCCAGTCTTACCACAACTCAGAAGGCCTACCAGGCAGGCAAGAGACCAAGTCATCCAACAAATCTATAACATCTTGGTCTTTTCTCCTGGAGCTGAAGTTCAGGTGTGGTCACTACAACAACATATTCCTTTAGAAGTACTGGGAGGTTATGTGTACTTCAGAAGAGGGGGTTTCAATGTTGCTCCTTCCAGATAATAAAACTGTTTCTCCACGGTGCTACTGCAAAAAACCGCCCATTTAATTAAATGAAAATAAAGATTTGGATTTAACTTTAAGGTCTCTTACATTAACACTATTACACAATGTATTTTGATTCATTAATAAAAGAACTGTGTGACAAGTTTGAGTTCCAATTACTACTCAGGTGTATCTTAAAAATTAAACTCATGAGGCAAATCGGCAATTTGTTTTTCTCAAATAACCACTTAACCCCATCCTGTAAAATATCAGTAAGTTATCAGCGAAGTAATTTCGCATGAATATTGTCATCCTTCTTGGCAGGCCTTTTTTTCCTAGGCCGTTTTAATCCTCCCACTTTCTTCCTCCTTCTACACACTGATGAATGGCTAAGTTAGAGCTACTGGTTTTTCGTTTGGCAGTAGTTCTTTTTACCAGCCTTTCCAAATTTCTTAGGCCATGACCCAACGCTGGCTCTTATGCCAGAACATACATTTGTAGCGGGTTACCTTAGCAAGTATGCTCCCAAGTCGCAGGGTGGTTCATAAACTCTTGCTCAAATGGACAACTTTAAATACTTTTGCAGAAGCTTTTTCTGCTTTCCTCTCCCTATATTAGACTATACATTTGTCGTGCTTTTTAAATGGGGAGTGGGGAGGACAGAACCACTACTGACTTCTCAAGACAATGAATATGTACGTTTCATTACCTATTATAATGAATATGTAAGTTGCATATGTAAGCACTTATCAGACTATCTTAAGAAACAATTACTTAATTACAACAACAAAAAGTATTTCACAGAACTCTGAATTAAGTCACCTTCTAAAAACACTGAAGCTTTGAAGTATTCAGCCCTCCCAAGCAGGAAAGGGCAGAATTTTTTAAAGCTTTTAAGAGATCTTTTGATGTCACTTTCCTAGTATTAAACACTACCTCTTTGCAATACTTGCATCTTTTGGCTGATTCATCAAAAACAGTGACTGAATGGAGACGCTTCTGACTACACTATTTCCATTATTCATGCTGTGGAGTGTTCAAAATGTGTTTTGAGTATTTTCTTATTATACCAATTTTTGAAATGTACACCATATCCCTTTAATAACACCATGCACTAATCTAAGACTGCCAACCTAAGCCATTTATAATCATATTTCTGTTGGAAGAAAAATGTACTTAATTAACATTATTGGAGATTAAAACAAAAAAGAGAGAGAGAGAGAAAGAAAAAAAGAAAACCCACATACTGACACCACATTTCCTCTGGTAATTTTAAGTCGTGACCACTGTGTTGTATCAAGCGCTGGCCACACAAGTGGATCAACTTAACCATTCTGGTGCTGGCGCAGGATGTGGATGCGGCGGTATTAATGAGAGCGTGAGCTTATAGTGTAACCTCGCCAGACCAAATAACCTCCTGGCCACACAAGTAGAAAATAATTAAAACAAGCACGATTCCAATTTAGCTTTGTAACCAGATGGTGAATGAAAAAGCAGACAAAGACTCATTTTGTGAATAACCTGGGGAACAGCTCCTACAGTTTCTTTTAAAGTTACAGTCTGACTCATGAAATTTAAAAAAAAAAAAAAGGCGGCCTGAGGGACAAAGGTTCTTACCAGAATTCACTCCCAGAGTAGATACATGTCATTTTCTCTAGGTCATGGCTAAAGAAATCACAACGTATTCCTTAAATGAATGCCAAGTTTAATTACAGCAAAACCCAAAAAAACACTCGGGAAAAGTTAAGTAGAAGACAAGATGCTGCTAAACATCTATTTCACCGAGATGTACATCAACAACTATACAAAGTAAATGTTTCGAATCATCAGGACTACAAAATGACACAAGCCTACACCAATATTCTACAAAAAAAATTTTTCCCAAAAAAATAAACAACATTTACAGCCTAGCACTAGACTCATGTTCTTTATTTTCCTCCCCCAAGAAGAATAAAGGTATTTCATGGGTAAGAGAAAGAAGGAAACATCTTAAAATAAGACCCAGTAACTTTGCTAACACTGCACAACAACTCTAGAAACAGGAAGACAAATCTAAATGAGCTGCCTGACCTTCGCAAGGTACACAGAGCGTAAGTGGTTTAGCCTATATATTAAAGATGGAAACTCTCAACCATGAAAGGGAGATGCTAGTTAATCTGGGCACACCCCCAAATGAGGATGGAACAGTAAAAGAGGCCATCATACAGTCCAGTATGTTCCGCCAACACACACACACACACACACACACCCTTCCCCTGGGGGACTGTGAGCCTGCCATGAGTGAAGAGGCAGAACCCTAAGGAGTTCACTTC